TATATATATATATATATATATATATATATATATATATATATATATATATATATATATATATATATATATATATATATATATATATATATATATATATATATATATATATATTATTTTGGACTGGTCAGATGCTGACCCACTCTCGAACACGGTCCAACTCATTTCTTCTTCGGAGAGGGTCTAATAAGGGCATAACTTATCACATCACATAAGGAGCGTTCACGCGTCTCCTCCATAGATTCCACGTACCCCCTACACGGGGACACGTCATCAGACAACTACCCACCTTTCGAAGATCACGAGGAAGTTGAACTAGGGCGAAGATTGTGTGCTGGTCTTCCTTACGCCACGTAAGTCCTGCTAGTTATTCGTGTTGGCCCTAGTGATCCAACTCAATGCAAAGTAATTGTTGCCCCCGCACTGGAGACACATTATAAATACCTTATTTCACTAGTGGATCAGGTATTCTATTCACATTCTAACTTTCTGTACTTGTCTTTCTCTTACTTCGTTTCTCACTTTGCCATCGAAGTACTTTGCAGATACGCACCCCCCTCTTCTCCACCACCGGCGAATTAAAGAGCTCATGACGTGTCATTGGCCGCTGATCCCTTTCTGATCCGATAAGATTATATATATATATATATATATATATATATATATATATATATATATATATATATATATATATATATATATATATATATATATATATATATATATATATATATATATATATATATATATATATATATATATATATATATATATATATATATATATATATATATATATATATATATATATATATATATATATATATATATATATATATATATATATATATATATTCACAATTGACATGCCCTCTTATAACCTTCATCAAAACAGACACTCACAGTCACAGGAGGTTAGGGATGATAAAATGAGTCAAGCCGGTTTGTTCAGTCATTAACCTATATAGAGTTGAAAATTTAGTCGTCTTGATTTATCTTTAATTAGTTTGCCAAGTTGTTATTTAAAAAACTAGCAAGATATTTTTGCTGACCCACGGATAAATTTATTTAATATGATATAAAATATATTTAAATACATGTGTAAGTTTTAAATTAAAAAAAAAATGGAAAAAAAATTTCACACTTGAAAATAAAGAATTCGTCTTTCAATTAAAGGCAATTGTTAATTAAAATAAAATAGATATTTTCTTGATATTGACTCGTGAAATAGAAAGTTAGTGGTGTGCATCATTATTTGGGTGGCAAAACGGGTCGTCCGCCCCACATTAAGCCCGCCAAATAAAAGGTGAGGCGAACAAGCCTGTCAACTGAAAATAGGCATAAAAATCTATCTCGCCCCGTCAAGGTGGTGGGTTAGCGAGCAGCGGGCTTGTCCGCCTATTTTTTTATTTTTTTATTTTTTTAATAGACTAATAGTATATTTCAATTAGATTTTTCTCTTATATTTTAGAACAATTTTTATAAAGTATCTTTTAAACAAATTTTACTTTAAAAAATATTACATATATTCTCAAATAAATGGATAAAATAAAACCATTAAGAATTAGAATTACTAAAATAAACTAAAAAAGAACGGGTTTAAGGTGGAACAAGTTGAACGAATAGGTGCGACGGACTTTCGCAGGTGACGGGTTTTGCCGGGATGGGTGACGGTCTTTAGCGAGTCATGCTTTGGTGGGCGGCGAACCCAAAATTACAACCCAACCCGTCATTTTTTTAGCGGGTGCGCGGACCGGCACGGCAGGTCACGGCCCGTTTTGTCCCCCTAATCATTATTGAGTTATATTTAATTTAATACAATATAAAATATTTTTGAATACACGTGTCAATTTATAATGTGTTATTTAATTGTAAAACGAACAATCCCTTATAATTTATTATATAAGAATGGCAACAAAAAAAAATGTTAATAGCAAAGTAACTAATTTAAATACTTTTTAATTTCTCTCTGAATGAATTAAATATAAATAAAATAAAATATATTATAACTTATAAATAAAAAAGTGAAAAAAACAATTTTAAATATTTAAGCTCGATGGACCAACCTATCTCGTCCCGTATACGTCTCGTTTTAATTGAATTAGACGGGACCGGCTAACAATTAGTGATGACTTCAAAATCACACATGTTGCATTAAAAATAACATGTTAAATTAATTGGTACGACGCCTCCATCATGTCATGTCATCTCTTGCTAAAGGGCTTGCAAGTGCTTGAGGTTGTTTTTTTTCAAATTCATTTTCCACAATTCTTTTGACAATGAAAAAAAAAACTATTGTCACATTTAATAGTATATATGTAAAAATGTATTGAATGTAAAAAGTTATTTTGATAAACATTTTTAACAATATTTTTTAAATGTTTCATATGAAAAAATATTTTTGTTTACCTTGTCTTAATGGAAAGAGATTTCTTTTTTATCTAAAGTAGATTAAAAAAAAAATGGTTTGTGGAAGGACTTTGGAGGAAAGTTGGGTCAGGTTATTTTACTTAGGTATCATGTTCAATATTTTATTGATTGCAATCAGGGTAGAATGGTAAGTGAAGTGGTTGAGCGCGAAGATTGTTGATTAAGTGGAAATCTTAATGGAAGAGATCATCTTTTGTTTGCAAGGAAGAGTTGGTGGATAATTTTTTTTAAATCCTGTGAGGAGTTACTCTTTATAAGATACCGATGGTTGGTGGTGAGGGCGGGGGAAACTGAGATTTACTCAGTTGCTTCGGTTTATAGTTCTCTCCTTAATATTAAGTTCATATCTTTTCTTCCTTTGAATATAGTGGATCAAGTTCAGCCTTGTATTTGGATTAGTTGGGCTCCATTTAAGGTGGTGGTGTCTTCTTTTGGCGACTTCTTCTTTATAAATTTCCTTCAAGATAGTATATGTTTAAGTAAGGGTGTTCAAAACCGAACCGGCCCAATATAAAGGCGCAAGCCAAACCAAATCAAATAGAAACCACAAAAAAAATGCATTCGATTCGGATGTGTTTGGCCTATTTTTTAACATAATTGTGCGGTTCGGTTTTGTTTATGTTTTGCATTTTATAAATCGAATCAAAGCAAATCAAATCGCATTATGTTACAACTCATATTTTGCTTATCTCGCCTCTAACTCAAAACCAAAACCTATTATGTCTTAATCTTACGATTATGAATGATTTACTCTTACTCACGATTAGGGTTTAACGCGGCTTCATCTCTTTTTTTTTGCCATGTAGATCTCTCCTCTTATACTTTAATCTCTCTTATCTTATGTTCTTTCTTTTTCATCTCTTCATTTTTATGTTATTTTTTTCTCTCCAATTACGTTTTTATCGCATCTTTCTTCTCTATTATCGCATATCTTTCATTCCTTCTTTTTTATCTTCTCAAATCTCGCATCTCCTCTGTTGTTTTTATTTTATTATAATGTTTTTTATATTGTTTTATACTTATATTTTATGTTTTTTATTTCACAATTGTTTAATGTGATTTATGTATATTGAATGGGAAATTGTTGTCCAAATATGATGAGTTTTGTTATTATTTGATAATGTATGAAAGACAATCACATAGTTACGTTGTTCTCTACATGTGTATGAATATCCCAATAAAAATTTTGTAAAAAACTGAATCAGTCGAACCAACTCGAACCGCATTAGTTTGTTTTGATTTAGTTAGGTTTTATTTCTAAAAGTCAGTCGAACCAAATCGAACCACACATTTTTTCTCTTGCGGTTTGAATGGTTTTTAGCGTCAAAACCGCCCAAACTGCACCGCAAACACCTCTATGTTTAAGTATCAAGTCCTTTTGGATTCAACTAGGACATCTTCCTGCTTTTGTGGGTCTACAGTAGAATCGACTTCTCATTTGTTTGTCACTTGTGAGTCAATTTTTGTGTTATGGTATAGGATTTTTAGGGTGGTTATGGTAGTCCTTTGTCCTTCTTGGGAATATTATGTTATTTTTTAGGTGTTTTTTTGTTTAGTTAGATTGTTTATGATTAGAGATGGTTTTTTCATGATTTGCCATCCGTTGATTTGATCTATTTAAAAGTCGCAAAATAATATGTTTTTCTCAGATACACATGTTCCTGTGAAATATTTTGAGGACATGAGCATTACCTAAAAATAGTATCTTCGGAAGTTTTTGAACTACTTTTACTCCTTTCCTAGTTGGCTAGAAAACATTATTCACATATAAGTAGTTGAGTGTTTTTTACCTTGTTCTGATGGAGTGTTTCTTCCTTGTTCTTTGGGAGGATCTGTTTCTGATAAATTTTAATTCTTCTTTTAATTTTATCTTTTTCATAGTTCTATGTGTTGGAGGTGTTGATTCAGTCCTTAATTTTGGTTTGAAGGATTTATTGTCTTTTGAATGATTGTTGTTGACGGTTATCTTCTTTTGCTTATACTAAATATTCTTTATGTGGATTCTTCCTCGATTATGTCGGAATATTAATTTTATATATATTTCCTCTGTCTCAACTTAACTAAAACCAAAAATATTAATATTAGTAAATTAAATATCTCCAAGAGAACCTAAAAGTGTCTCAATATAAGCACACAACAATTGCAAAAAACTCATTTTCAAACAATTCAAACAACGAGGGCACAACAATTGCAAACAACTAGGACACAGTGCTAGTGAAAACTACACACTCAAGTTAGAAAACAAGATATTAAAGTAAAAGACAATTGACGAAAGAAAGATTTCAAAAACAATGTGATAGGTAAAACAAGTATGTGAAAAATCAATCAAGCATGCAAATTTTATAGAATTCAATGATGGAAATCATTTTGAATCAAATATTGATGTTTAATACTAACAGAAGTGATACTTGAATGTTTAAGCTGTCTTTCTCAACTACCAATTGGTCACACAAAAGCAAATAAACCAAAACCAATTTTACAGCCACAGTAATTGAAATATAAGGAAACTAGTCTTAGTTTGAAAAGGCAACATGAAGTTGCAGCAGATTATAATATTCAAACTTTCATTCAAAATCAGATGTCATGTTGATCATAATCCTCCCCTTCTACTTCCTCCTCTTCATACTCATCGTCATCTGCGGTGGCGTCTTGGTACTGTTGATACTCTGCAACCAAATCATTCATGTTGCTCTCAGCCTCAGTGAATTCCATCTCATCCATTCCTTCACCTGTGTACCAATGCAAGAAAGCCTTTCTCCTGAACATAGCAGTAAACTGTTCACTCACCCTGCGGAACATTTCTTGAATTGAGGTCGAGTTTCCAATAAATGTTGAAGCCATCTTCAAACCAGTTGGGGGAATGTCACAGACAGTGGATTTGACATTGTTGGGAATCCATTCCACAAAGTATGATGAGTTCTTGTTCTGAACATTCATCATTTGTTCATCAACCTCCTTAGTGCTCATCTTTCCTCTAAACATAGCAGATGCAGTGAGGTAACGTCCATGCCTAGGATCAGCAGCACACATCATGTTCTTGGCATCCCACATTTGTTGAGTGAGCTCAGGGACACTGAGAGTCCTGTACTGCTGGGAGCCACGGGAGGTCAGAGGTGCAAACCCCACCATGAAAAAGTGAAGACGAGGGAATGGAATGAGATTCACAGCAAGCTTCCTGAGATCAGAGTTCAACTGACCAGGGAACCTCAAACAACATGTGACACCAGACATAGTTGCTGATATCAAATGATTCAGATCACCAACTGCATCATCACAGAAAATCAAATCAAACACACTCCAAAAATAAAAACACATGAAATGACTAGCATAAGAAAATGGTCAATATAGCATAAGAAAAGGGTCAACATAGGAGTGTGAAATAGCAAACTAGCTTACAGCTTGGGTTACTGAGCTTCAGAATACGGAAGCAAATGTCATACAAGGCTTCATTGTCAAGAACCATGACCTCATCTGCGTTTTCAACAAGCTGGTGAACAGATAGAGTAGCATTGTAGGGTTCCACCACAGTATCAGAGACCTTAGGAGAAGGAAAAACAGAGAAAGTGAGCATCATCCTGTCAGGGTATTCCTCCCTAATCTTTGAAATGAGAAGAGTTCCCATTCCAGATCCAGTTCCTCCACCAAGTGAATGGCACACTTGAAAACCTGCACACAGGAAAAACACACCGCACCCATTTCATAATCAGCCACAAAAACTAAATCAGTAAACCCTAACAAACACAACAATCAAACCCTAAAAACATAAATTCAAAAACTTCAACACATGAAATATCCAAATTGCAGCGTGAAAAACTTGAAACTAAAACAGTAAACCTTGAAAACACAAAAATCAAAACCCTTAAAACCTAAACTCCAACAAAGTTAGTAAACAAATCAAATATCCAAATTGCATCATCAACACATGAAAGGTTCCAACTATACATATACATATACGCAAACTCGAAATCAGCCGCATAACTTCAAAAAGAGAAACATAGATCTAATTTCGCAGTCAGTCAAAACACCCTACAAGAACGCATCAACACTTCAACTACAACTTCATTTCTTCTGAAACAACAAAGTGAGTTCAACAAAACACTAAATCAAACAAATCAACGAAACCCTAAATATCAGAACAAGTTGGAAAAAAAACCATACCCTGCAAGCAATCACAGTTCTCAGCTTCCTTGCGAACAACATCAAGAACAGAATCAATGAGTTCAGCGCCTTCAGTATAGTGACCTTTCGCCCAGTTATTCCCAGCACCACTCTGACCAAACACAAAGTTATCCGGTCTAAAGATCTGACCGTAGGGTCCAGACCGGATACTGTCCATGGTACCCGGTTCAAGATCCATGAGAACCGCTCTGGGAACGAAGCGGCCACCACTTGCTTCGTTGTAGTAAACATCGATCCTCTCTAGTTGAAGATCTGAGTCGCCGGTGTAGCGTCCGGTTGGATCGATGCCGTGTTCGGCGCAAACGACTTCCCAGAATTTAGCACCGATTTGGTTGCCGCATTGACCACCCTGGATGTGGAGGATTTGACGCATGTTGAAGATTTGAGAAAAGAAATGACCTAGAAACGAAAATGGGGAGAAAGGGTTTCTAGGCTGGGAAGAATAGAGAGAGACTGAGGAAAATGATTCGGTTTTATAGATAGAGAGAGAGAGAGAGAGAGAGAGAGAGAGAGAGAGAGAGAGAGAGAGAGAGAGAGAGAGAGAGAGAGAGAGAGAGAGAGAGAGAGAGAGAGAGAGAGAAACGTTTGGGGATTTTGTTTGGGTTTCAACGGTTGGATTAGTTTGAGTGTTTTTTATATAGATGAAGCGCTGGAATATGAGATTTGGAATTTTGAATTTTGAAATTTATATTGTTTACCATTTTGAGAGCCAAAATAAGATTTAAAATTGTATACTTATTAAAATATAATCATTTGTATAATTTAATAATGTTAAGATATTATTCTACATGCTAATATTTGTAAAAAAAAAATTAACATATCTATATGTCTTATTTTTATATATTTCTTAAAGAAATGTGTTTTATTTATTTTAAAATAATAATAAATGATATATATATATATATATATATATATATATATATATATATATATATATATATATATATATATATATATATATATATATATATATATATATATATATATATATATATATATATATATATATATATATATATATATATATATATATATAGTTACGGGTCAACGAAATGAAGGTTGTCCTCAATGTTTGACTAATCTATTCAAAGGAGTTTATATATATATATATATATATATATATATATATATATATATATATATATATATATATATATATATATATATATATATATATATATATATATATATATATATATATCGTAAGAATGTAACAATTTCGATGCTCCCACTATATCATTTATGTAAGAATCGCTGTTAAAAAATAATTGTGATTTTATCCACCACCTAACTTTGGTATCAGTATGATCTCATCGAAAAGTTGGGTTATGTGCCTTAATATTTGTTTGCCCATTGGGCTCATTTTGGAAGTCGTATAAATATTGTTGGTTTTGCAAGTCTAAGGTTGGGAAGGCAAAACCTTTGAAGACCTCCCTTATATCAATTAGATCTAGTAAGTATTATTTATAGTTGCGTAGTGATCCTTGACAGAACCTTCTATTGGTTTTCTTTTATAAGAAAAAGTATCTCATTAAGAAGATGTGTTTTTTTGCTACACTTAGTTATAGATGTTTGTTATAAATTTGTGTGTGCCTTTAATCCGGAATGTAGCCTAGAATTGCGGTTTTGAGACATTTTGTGTCCTAACAATTGCAATTACAACAGAGGCAGAGGTTATTTCTATGTTTGGACTTAGAGCTGCAGTTCAAACAGTTGAAATATTGGTAGTACCTAAAAGGTTTCATAATCAATCAGTTAAGAGGTCAGGATCTGGCGAGAGGCAGTGATTAGAGAAGTGTTTAAGATTATAACACCTGTATTAAAGAGGGAAATGGCTTTCCAAATACGAGGGTGAGAACCGTTGCAATGGCGTCAGGTGTATATACGGTCTTGCATCATAAAATTCTTTAGGAGTCTGCTTCGAGTGTAACGCCTCAGGCTGTTTTCAGGATAACCGGTTGATCCCATAAACTAACACGATTCTTTTAAGCATGCTTTGTACTCACTCACACGCTATTCGAGAAAATTCTCAGAAGATCACTCATCCCAAAATTGTTTCAAGTTAAGCACGTTTAACTATGAAGTTCTTATGTAACAGGCTACAGAAAAGAAGATATATCTTGTTGGTATAAGTAGTATCAATTAATCCTTATAAGACTTCCATTAACCATGTAGTCTCATACCTGCGCAGCATCAAAATCCCCTTTATTCCGATGTGAATTCGAGTTTTCCCTATAAGCTGCTAGAAGTGTCTCATTAGCATGCCTCATGCACCGACAATCACTCTCTCGCCTTTGGGTGTTACATGTAACCACATCGTACTTGGAAAGGTCTGCTCTAATACTATTTGTAACGCCCTAGACTATTTTCAAGATTACTGATTGACCCTATAAGCCAACATAGGTCTTTTCAGCATATTTTGTCCTCACTCACATGCTTTTCAAGGACAGGAATATCTATTGAGCTTGAAGTGAGACTACATTTAAGTCATTTCTTTATTTGATTCTTAATATTTCGTGTAATCCTTTACGATATAAACATTGCACTATAAAATTAATAAATGATATTTCCCCAATAATTCTCACATTATTACAATGTGAATAATAGGTTGAAGTTTAAACATATGCAAAGTAAAAAAAAACTTGAACGCAAAGAAGATGTGTTGTCAAAAATATTATAAACCTTGAACATAAAGAAGATGTGTGTGTGTGTGTGTGTGTGTGTGTGTGTGTGTGTGTGTGTGTGTGTGTGTGCACGTGTGTGTGTGTGTGTACACACATACACACATACTGTTAGAACACATATTGGTTCTTAATAATATCTCTATGTTTTGATGATAACTATTATGAAATTTTGTAATTAAGAATTATATACTCTAAAATTTGCTTAAGAATGTTTGCTGCAGATATTAAAGTAAATATCACTCCAGAAGCAAATCAGATCTGAACATAAGAAATATGCAAGGCTCTGAAGCATCAGAAGCATTCCTTAGAAGATTCTGAACGCTGCCATCAAAAGATTCTGAGTGTTGCCTCCAGAAGGATCTGAAGCAGAAGCTCCAGAAGGATCTGAAGCAGAAGCTCCAGAAGAATCTGAAGCAAGTCAGAAGCATCTGAACCAATGAAGAATTATGTATGAAGAGTTTTCAAGCATAGTTACTTCAGAGGACTCTGATAGTACTAACACTGCCAGTACTGAGAATCTGACCCAAAACTCTACTCTGAACTTATACACGCTAAAAGCACACTTGTTGCAAAGACTCTGATTCAGCAAAACTCTGATCAACGTCAGAAGGCTCTGATCAAATTAGACTCTGATGATTCTTGCTGAAAATTGTTGAAGAAGAATTCAAAGATTATGTCCGTTGAAATATCCAAACGACTCTTTCCTTATTTATGCTAGACACAAGAACACAGACAAAAAGGATTTCTCTGTGCTTTCTTCTTCTAGGAAAGGTCACTTGATGTGAAGACAAAAAGGCTCAGACCTTTTGGTACACACTTCTCAACGTGAAATACTCTTGGATCATTGTGCCTATAAAAGCAAGTCTCCACTCATCTTCTTTAGTTGACGAAAACACTGGAAAAGAACTCATTATCAAAGCTCTCATACAACTCATATATTCTGTCTAGAAGTATTTCTTTGTTCTTAATCTTAAGTGAAAAATCACAGTTGTGATAAAGCTTTATTATAAGCATTTTAACACTTGTATTTATTATTACATTTGATTGTAAGAAAACCTTAAGAAGATCCAGTTAGGATCAGTAGTTCTTGAGAAGACTTTGAACAGTTGTTCTTAGTGCTTACTATTGTAATCAGTTGATTAAACAGTGGATTAAGTCGTTGTTTGAGAAAGGCAAATCACTCTAGAAAGGGTGGACTGGAGTAGTTGAGTTCAACGAACCAGGATAAAAATATTTGAGTTTTTTACTTCTAAGTTTTTATCTTCATACTTGTTCAACCCCCCTTCTAAGTATTTTCTCACCTTCAGTTGGCATCAGAGCTCCGGTTCTGTGTGTGTGCTACCACTTCACAGTGACAGAAAAGATCCAGTGAGAAAAACTTTGATATATATTTGGTTGTTACTATGGCTGATACTTCAATATCTAACATTAACAACAAATATGAAGAAAGGGACAGAATTAACACTAAACCCCCTATGTTTGATGGGGAGAAATTTGATTATTGGAAAGACAGGATTGAAAGTTTTTTCCTTGGTTATGATGCTGATTTATGGGATTTGGTCATAGATGGATATGTTCATCCCACTGATGCGAATGGCAAGAAAGTAGATAGAAAATCTATGACAGAAGCCCAAAAGAAGGGATTTAGAAATCACCACAAGGCTAGAACAATATTGTTAAATGCAATATCTCACACTGAGTATGAAAAGATCACAAATAGAGAAACTGCATTTGACATGTTTGAGTCCTTGAAGATGACTCATGAGGGAAACTCTCAAGTCAAGGAAACAAAGGCTCTGGCTCTAATTCAGAAGTATGAAGCCTTCAAGATGGAAGAATCTGAATCTGAGTCAGAAGAGGAATGTGCCAACGTAGCATTGATGGCTGACATAGAAGATCAGGAGGAAGGAATTTCAGGATCTGAATCTGACTCTGAATCTGACTCTGACGCTGAAGAGGTAATGGCTAAACTCACTAAAGATGAACTCATCAAAGTGTTATCAGAAGTTCTGAAGAGTTATAATAATATTAAGCTCAAATACAAGAAGCGTCAAAGCAATCTTATATCTGAGAATAATATTCTCAAATCAGAAGTAGCTGAGCTAAATGAAAAGAACTTAAAATTGAAAAATGATTCTGAATTAGCTCAACAAGACTCTGATTCTGAAACTGAGTCTGAATGCAAAAATATTTTGGAAAAATATGACTACAGCTTTTAGAAGTTTCTTGCTAAAAGCATAGACAGAAGCAAAATGGCTTCTATGATCTATGGAGTTAGCAGAAATAACAGAAAAGGAATTGGATATAAATCTTCCTCTGGAAAGGATTTAAATCCAAAACCTGTTGATAAAATTATCATCAAGAAAACTCCTTTATATTCCCACTTTAAATTTGGTCACTTGAATGATATTGAACACACTCGTTCTGAAAAGAACATTCATGTGTTTAAATCTAAGGCTAGTCAGAATAAACCTTATGTTGAAAAACAGAAGTTTAGACAAACCTTCAGAACAACTAACCCAAAAGGACCCAAGAAGATCTGGGTACCTAAAAGTAAAATAATTCCTGTTGCAGATGTTCTTAGCAGCAAGGTCAGGACGCCAATCATGGTACCTGGACTCTGGATGCTCGCGACACATGACAGGAGAAAGGTCTATGTTCCAAAGTCTGGAACTTAGATCTGGAGGTG